AAAAACGTTACAAAAATGCCCCCGAACGACTAAGGAGGAACGACTGAGTAATTGTGCCTAGTCGCACGCCGTTTCGAGGCTCGCGGAGAAGGAATTTTATAGGGCAAAAAAAATCGGATTTCTCGGCCTTTCTAGACAGTGCATTTTAACGTATTTACGGCCGCATTTCGAATCCCGCGTTTGATTTCGCGTAAATTTGTACATAAAAAGTTGGAAAAAGGCACCCGGTCGATAAATATTAGTATTTTCGGCACGGTTTTAAATAAAATATCGTAGAAAATAGGGGAAATAAAAAATAAAAAAGCCGTACCCGCGCGCGATTCGAGGCGATCGGCGGCCGCCAGATTTCAGCGGGTGGGCGTGTCGGACTATCGCGTTTCACACAAAAATTGGGCCGCGCCCCTCGCAGAGCCTGGGGAATTCAAAGAATTCACGGTGAAGGCGTCGAGTAATCGGGTTCTAAATACGACGTTGGGACGCGGGAAGGACGTCGCGACGGGGGCCGCTACGCGGCCCCGGGGCGAAGCCTTTGCTAACACAAATCGGCTCTTTTTCGAGGCGATCGTGCGACGCAGACGGAGCTATAGGATTTTAATATATATTGATTGAATTGATTTAATTGATTTATTGATTTATGAATTTTTGTATGAATCTTGTATACGATATAATTTTTTTAGCTGAATAATTTGCAAATATTTCACAAATGGCGATCCTATTTTCTTAATTTTAGAACTAGTTCCTCCGGATATAGAAAAGGAAGTTAGAAACCTATATTTGGCTCTCTGTGAATTGCTCAATCATTTTTGGAGATGTTTCCCACCTACAAATTCCAACGCAGAAACTAAGTTAGTAAAAATGCATGAGGCTTTGAACAGGTTCCATACAGCTAAATTAAAACCTTTCGAGGTGAGTTATTGTTATATCGTTTTTGAATTGTAAATTCGTCTTGCAATTTTGAACTTTATCGCAGTGATGAAGAAAACCTATTTCTTTACAGGATAAATTAATTAGGGAACTTTCCCCTCTGTCGCACCACTTAACGAAACACTTAAACCAGCTGCTGAATGCAGCGTACCAGAAGTTTAACAACTGGCAGAAAATCAAAGGACGGTAATTAAAACAGTTTACGAGATATTTATAATTACGATTATAGCAATACGAGTACCTTTGTGGGTATTTACTAATAATAAGAAAATGATTTACTTATAAGAAAACTGATGTAATAAAAGACACTTTTCTGTTGTGGCCCGACGTGGGTCATTACTTAATTTTTTCGCCTTGTCTATCATACAAACTTAGTACAGATCTTTGATATTTTATACCAAATATTCAAGATATTAAACGATAAACTGTATTACTACCTTTAGTTATCTTCATTACTGATTATTTATTTTTTTGTAAAAATGTATGGTACTAATTTTAATTTTTATTACTTTTTTTTGTTAATTAAATTTTTGTGTTCGACGTTTATGTTAATCGGTTACAAAATATTTCATTTCAACAAAGATAGTTTTGCAAATACATATATAAAAACCCAAAAGCAATAAACATAATTTTGGGTATTGTTAGTAGTATGAAGATTATATTAGAAATGGAATTTTAGGAAAAAATGTACATTGCAGCCCTTTTGGCTTTTACACAAAGATGCTATCAAACTGGAAAATTATATAATTTTGATATATTTGTCACAATTATCACTCAACATGCTTATTTTGCTTACATTTATACGTTTTTAAAATTTGTTCTACGCAGTTGTCAGCTCAATATAAAAAAACAAATTTGCGATTCACTAATATCACATTTTTTGTGGAACAGTACTTGTATCTATAATTTTTTCCAAATGCCATTCTCCATTCGTACTCTTAAATACAGGGCGATTCACATAAAATTCCTTGGTCTTGTAACTTGACAACGGAAAGAGATATTTTCATTCCATAGCTAGTTGATTGAGTTATATTTAATATATTTTTCAAAAGTATCTCACGGGGTGTCCCGATTTTACTGATACAGATCCTAAAGTTCTTCGTTTTTGAGATAGACGGTGTTAAAGTTTCCTGGATGCAAAGGCAGTTTAAATTCGACTAGTTTGGGATTGCTACCATGAACAAAGATAATATTTGTACATTATGAAATTCGAATATTTTCAACTTGGTCGTGAAATATCTCGGAAACTATTGAATTTTCGACACATGTCTATAGGAAATAGTTTAAATAGTGAAAATCGATATACTTAAGAGGGCTCTATAGCAAATAGGCAACCAGCAATACATTTTTATAAATTTTAATACACAGTTTGTCTAAATGTGAATCAATGCACAAATGACAGACTTTCCTCCATTTTAACGCAGATTTTCTATAAAATGGAGTTAGTTTGAAACTCAAATAACTTTTTGTTGTAAAGAAATTTGTAATTTGCCGCTTTAGAACAAGCGGCATTACAAATTTCTTTACACCAAAAAGTTATTTGAGTTTCAAACTAACTAACTCAGCTTTAAAATGGGGCAGTCTGTTATTTGTGCATTAATTCATATTTAGACAAACTGTGTAATAAAATCTATAAAAATGTAATGCTGGTTGCCTATTTGCTATAGAGCCCTTTTCAAAATTCCTACAAAACTAAAATTTGTTGCAACTTCAGTGCCACCTACGATTTACTTTGGAAAAACTCTACTTGAACGATTAATTGCTGCCATGGAGGATTCTATTAATTGACTTACAGAATCATAAAATCATTATAAATTATACAACCACACAAGAAAAAAGTTGTCTGTACTTTTCATGTGACATATGTTATCCGCAGTATTTTTGTCTCCTGATCACGAATCTGGTGTCGGAATTAAGCTAACACATCACAAGAATTTCCTAACCTCAAAAAACAGGTCAAAAATAGCAAAAATTCACGAAAAAGTACTAGGAAAAATACAAACTTTTTTTTTATATTGAAATGTTCATTTATAAGACCCTGCCGAACGTGAATAAGTTTTGCAAAATTCAAGATGGCGGATCCAGGATGGCCGACCAAATTTTCAAAAAATAACCCATTCGCGCTAAATTTGGTATACGGGGGTTTTCGGGGTCGCTGATGACGGATCCGAGGTCAATTTTGCAAAATTCAAGATGGCGGATCAAAGATGGCCGAACAAATTTTCAAAAAATAACATTCGTACCAAATTTGGTATACGAGCATTTCGGGGTCATCTGAAAATTTTTGTATTTTTCCTAGCACTTTTTCGTGAATTTTTGCTATTTTTGACCTGTTTTTTGAGGTTAGGAAATTTCTGTGATGTGATAGCTCAATTCTTACACAGGATTCGTGATCAGGAGGCAAAAATACTACGGATAACTTATGTCGCATGAAAAGTAGACAACTATTTTTTGTGTGTGGCTGTGTTATCGAACCAGAAAATTTTATGTGAATTATCTGTTATATTGTTTTCCTGTACCATCGAATTATTTTTAATTCGTTTTTTTATTAATTTATTTATTGTACAGTTATTATAAATGAAAAACGATAATAAATATCAACTTTGTGTTAAATGTATTTTTATTCCTACTTAACCATTTGAGTCGAAGAAAATAAGATGAAAGGAACTTTGTTGTTGAAAGCGTTGGAGCTAATTTTTACCAAGGAACATCCTGCAGAAGTTTGGCAGAAAAATTAAGGAACATACACTTCATAAAAAGTAACATTACTGATCACTATCTTTATTCAAAATTATACAAAATAGTAAAAATGAAAAACGTCGTGCTCGATTTTAACTACTCGACTTGAGATCATTTTCTTTCAGACTGAACATACAGGAGAAAGTGTCAAGCCTGAATAATATTATGCTGTGGCACTAATACAGATCCGATTGTAACATAAATTATTACGCAGAAGAAAATTTATTTTCTCTCAGTTTTATGCTTTGTACTACAAAGCATAAATTTCAAAAGAGCAAAGTTAAACATATATATTTTTTCCTGCAAGGCTCTTTTTGTTATCAAGAGAGTTCAAAAATTTTATTACATGTATTCTCATCTTACACTCATTTTTTCTATTCATGAGCAAAATACTTTACAGAAATGTACAATTTTAGAAATCTTTATCAAAGCAGATTCTCATTAAAAAAAATTGATTGACATATTAATCATTTATTATAAAGAGATTTTATTTTTATTTCAATCTGAAAAACAAAATATATTAGAAAACATTTCTTAACTATAATAACTCAGCCTTTTTAAAAGAACGTTAACCTAAGTAATAATATTTGGTATAAGTTAATATATTAAAATATTTTACTTACAAGCTCTGTAAAATAAACACACTACAACAGCGTCAATAAAACTGTAAAAGGATACAATACGGAGGTCTTTTAGTAATACCTAAGAATTATTTTATATAATCCTAATGTTAATCGAAAAAAGTTAAAGCTACTACTCTAGATAAAAAAAATAAATAAATACTATAATTAATTACAATTAATACAAATATCTAACCTATACATCAGTTCCTCTCTCTGAATGGTGATTCAACTCTACTAGAATTCAGGGAACGATTAGGACTATTAATATTTTCTTTGTCCTCGGGATGTAGTTTTGTTTTTCTTAGACACTTTTTCAAGTCAGTATTCTCTTTTTTCAGTTTTTCCATGACTTTTAATTGTGACTGTACCTTTAACTCCAAATCCATATTAGCCTTAAAATACATAAGAAGTTTAGCAAAACTCAATATACAAAGAAAATGTTCAAATAAAGGAAAAACTATTTATTATAACCTTCCGTTAACTATTTAAATATATAAATACTGGTGTAAAAGAATATGTTCTTATAGATTTAAAATCATAAAATTCCATTTAAAAAATTGAAGAAAATACAATTTGAAATTTGTAGAATTGACATGTCAATAGAAAACACCTTGTATAAAATTATTAATCGTACAAACTTGAAAATTATTACAGATTTTAATTGTATATTGAAAATACATTTAAAATATACTTTATTGATCCGTTTCAACTTTTATTTGAATGCCTTTTTGTTGTACAGTAAAACCTCTAAATAAGATACCGCTAAATACTATGTAGCATCTCTTAATAATGGACTGTCACTAAAACACGAAAATATTTGTAGTTATTATTAACTGCAGACAGAGACAGCACCCTGTTAGTGCATATACCTACTAACTATTCGAATTGATTGAAATTGCACGAGTAAATTATGCTGCTCCGCTTGCATAATCCCCCACTCCACACTCTTTGACTCTGCTTGATTGCTGTAAAATGTATCAATCTTTTTTGCATCAGAACAGTTAAAAGACATTTCCGATTTAAACAAATTTTCATAGTTATAAAGTCTTAGCTTCAAACAATCTAAATCACTTCTGACTGTTTTTGTACAGTACATTGTTTTGGCATAAACTCACTTCAATTTTGAGCTTTTATATCTCGATGACGATTCATCGTATCCACAAGATCAAAAGTGGATTTTGTTCGTCAATCCTTCCTCTGTTTGATCCTATAATTACATTTGAAGAATATGCAAATACGGCTCTAAATGTTTATAGGTTTTTAAAAGAAATTTTGAAAGAATTCTAATTGTTGCAAAAATGGATAAAATTGAAAATTTTTAAATGGGGAATGATAGTTGAGACTCCAAAGGGTATGTATATATAAAAATTGGGAGCTCAAAATAATCATTGGTTTTACTGTGAGAGAGAGAATTGAAAAATAAGTATAATTCTGTATTTTCCTAATTAACAACTGAATCGTGCTAAGTCTACTACGCCGATTTTGATGAAAAAATTTCTGCAATACTACCATGTCATGAAGTACTCAGAACCATACTTTCTATATGGTTGCTCTAAAGTCAAGGTCCAAAATAAATTTATGAAAAACATTTTTTTTTCAATTTTTTTTCGGTCTATACTGTATTGCAGCAACAATAATGCACATAAAAATTTCGGACCACTTTTATTTTGAAGAGAATCACAAAAGGAAATGTTTTTTCCTTTGACTATTTTCTCCAATGTCAATATTCTACGAATTATACATGAAAGAAGGGAGAAAAATGCGCCTTTAAAAATTTTTTTTTACATTTTCTTGCGTTAACAATTACATATGCACAACTTTTTCAGCGGGCGCATATCGCAATTATCATTTTACATAATATTTTGAACTATTTCCAACAAAAATTAGCGTTACTATATGAAACATCCATACAACCTACTTTTAAAACAGATACCGACTGGACTAAACAGTTTTTTTGCACCCTTACATATCCTTTTTTCCATTTAATTTGTGGCAAGCGGACAACATAATTTAAGTATTCAAAAACCCGTTCAAATGTTTAGTGTTGGAAAAACGCAGGTTAGCGATATATTTAAAAGTAAAAGTGAAATTAAAAAATTCTTTGAGGAAAATGGAAATGGAGAAAAGAAAATTTCCAAAAATTCTGGTGTGGCTGTTGATAAAACAGTTTTTGTTCTGTAAGATGTGAAATAAGAATATTCCCATACCTCTACTTAAAGAAAATGAGTTGGAAATGGCTTAAAGTTTACAACTAACTGACCTCAGAAAAATTCATATCCACAGAAAGGAATAATGCCATTTACATCCAATAATTAAATTATTAAAATTAAAGATAAATTGTATATTTAAAGAAGGAAAAATTAAATATATAGGTAATTATTGCAATAACTCTATTGTTACCTTTACCAACTCCTCATTTTTTGCTTTTAGGTCCACTACATGTTTTATCTTCTGCTTATTATTGGTGTGTCCTGCTAAGTCTGCATATTTATCAGACACTTTCTTCAGCTCATTCTCCAAAAACTGTATTCTTCCTAATAATGTGTCTTTCTCCAGTTCAGTTTGTTTCAGTCTATTTCTCAGTAATTGGTGTTCAACAGTCTAATAAGTAAATAATATTTCTGAACAAGTTTTTTTAACCAAACTTAACTTACCTTTTCCATATAATTTTCTTTCTCCTGGCAATTCTTAGATATTCTTAAAATTTCCTTTTGATTTTCCAGATTTTCGCGTTCTAACTGCTGGAACTTTTGTAAAAGTTCATCATATTTCCCAGAGAGTTCAATGTATTTCTTATGGATATTCCCCGCATCTTCCAACTCTTTCTCATATTCCAGTACCTTATTCTTGCAATATTCAGAATGATGGAAATATGACTCACATTTGTCCTGTAGGTGTGCAACCTGCTTTTTGAAATCGTTAACCTCGTCCTGTTTCATTTCTAACAAATCTTCTAATTCCCTGACGTTGTGTTCCAACTTTTCTTTAAGATTACTCCAGTCCATTTCTCTTATGCGATAATCCTCAAGTTCATTTCGAGATTGCTCCACCTCAAATTCATACTGACAATTAGTAGTATCGAAGCATTTAAACTCTGTCTTCAATATCTCTATTACCTCATGAGCTTTGTGAAGCTGTTGCATGATTTCCTTTTTTGTTTCTTCACTTTCTATTAACTTTTTTTCCACTTCTTTTCGGTAAGTTTTGACTTTCTGCCATAACTCAGCCTTAAGTTGTTGGATTTCGCTGGTATTAAGCTTTATCGCGGACTCATGTTGCATTTCCAATTCTTCATTATAATCCTGCGCTTGTTTAAGAGCAGACGCTAACTGCATACACTTGTTTTCGTATTCCAGTAACCGTGCTTCGTTTTCCGAGACTTCTTTCTTTAATTGCTCCACATCTCTATCGGAATCGATCAATCTCTTTTTTATAACTTCTATAGTATTCTGCGAACTTTTGATCGTAACTAAGTATGTTCTATTTTCTTCCAGATATTTCTTTATTTCGTTGGTTTTGTTACGTAATTCATTACTTAAAGTGTCATTCGTTTGTTTTAATCCCGTCACTGAACTGGAAAACTCGTGTTGTAAACTATTATACTTCTTTTTAAGGTCTTCATAGTTTGATATAACTTCACTGTACTGTAATAAATTAGCTTCTAATTCCTTAGTTTTTTCCATTAACTTTGTTTCGATTTCTTTTTTTTCTAACTCGCACTGTATTATATTATACTCGCTAATAGTCTGACATTCCTGCAATATAGCATTTGATTGCTGTTGCTGATTTTCGAATTTTATTCTCCAGTTGCTTTCCATTTCATACAATTGCTCTCTCATTCGAGATTTTTCGGCTTCCATAACCTGATCTGTAATCTGAAATAGGTACATTAACTAAAATATATAGTAACAATACAAGTTCATAAGGACCAAGGGGATGAGGGCAAATTAAAAATATTGTAATACAAAATCTCCTTTACTATATACTATTACCTTTTTTATTTTATCTTCATACTCCAAGATTAGCTGTTCCTGCTCTTGTTCAAATTTCCATTTCAAATCAGCAACTGTTTTCTGCATAGCAGATTCAAGTTCATCTATTTTACGTGAAGCCTCTTCTTTTTGTTTTTGTAGTTCCGTCATGGTTTTCAGAATCTCGAACTCTATATCTTGTATTTCCATTTGGTGGGCTTTTCGTAATTTTTCGATTTCCATGGAATGTTTTCTTTGGAGTTCGATAAAGTTACCCTCCAAATCTTTCAGTTCACGTTCCTTATTCGTTAATAACAGGTTCTTTTCTTCAACAAGTTTATTACACTCCTCAAAAGACTTATTATATAAAATGTTAAATTTATCACAGTTGTTTTTAAGTTCATTCATTTCTTTTCTGTTAGCTTCTTTTAAAAGTTCATACTGTTTCTTCGCTAATACTATTTCATCGTTCACTTTAGTTTTCTCGTCAACAACCTTTTTTATGTCATCTTCAAATGTTTCCTGCAACTTCTTAATCTCATTTTTGTGATCAGTTTTTAAATTTACAACACATTCTTCCACTTTCTGTTTCTCTACGTCAAGTTGCTTTTTTTGTTCTTCCAAATTACTAATATTGTTTTTAAGTATCTCAATTTCCTCCGTTAAACTTTTTATGGAGGCATCTTTATTCTCACATTCAACAATTTTTTCTTTTAAAGCTTCAGATTCGACATGTTCAGCAAAAAGGTTTTTTGATTTTGTGTCAGAGGTAGTTGTTTTCTTCTTCTTTGGTAAGATAGGCTAAAACAAATTAAAGATAAATTTGTATGATCAGATACAAATTTTAAAATTGAACTGAAATGACACATAAAGATTAGCTCCAGACAACAGGCACTTTTGGATGTTAGAGATTTTAATTATTTTATAGTTAGTTCAAAGACAACAACGACATGTACAGTGATATTTGACTATCACAAAAAATGTTGTAAGAAAGTAATAAAATAGAGTTAGAAGATATTGTGATTAATAATTAGAGGTATACATATGCAGCACATCCAATATATTAACAAATCTAGAGACAGATAAAGCAAATCCAACATAGGTACTTACTGTCCTAAAGCGACATGGAACACTATGTGTAGACCCCGATTCCGAAACAGATGGGCTCCTTAATTCTGCAATACGATCTGACTGAGAAGCCACAGAAATTTTTGGTCTATCTTTAATAAGAACATTATATGCTGTTGGGCCTGGGGCAATAGCTGTAAAAGAAAAATATTGAAACTATGAAATATTGAAAAGTACGACACACCTCCATCTAAAGTAATAAAAAATAGTAGTAACCTACTGTTGTACATAAAAAATAGAACAAGCTTTAATGTTTTGTTTTTTACGAGTAAGAATGTGCTATACTTACGTTTAATGTCATTAAATCGTTGAATTTTGGCTTTACTGAACGACATTATTATACTATATAAAATGTTTATTAAAATTTAAAACAATGTTTTCTCAAGTTAAAATTATAAACTATTTTCTTTTTGGTATTTAAAAAACAGCTGTAATGTTAGGTAGTTAAATGCAAACGACCAGTTTCGGCGCCTTAAGATGTGACCGTTACATTTTAACAAACAGCCCTCCTACTTCAAAAGAGCTCCCAATAAAAACTCTGAACGGTAAAAACAGTATTTCATTATTGGTCAATTTTGATTTTTGATTTTGACATCTCCATTTGAAAAGTGAAACAGTTAAACGCTTCTTCTTCTCCTTTCTCTTTGACCTTCGTCCATTAGACATTTAGCTATCGCCACCGTTTACTTATTTTTTTTTTTAATATTAAATTTACAACTTTGGGAATGAAAGTACTTATAACCTATCAGATGAATCAAAGAAAGATAAATAGATACCTCATCACCAACGTTTTCTCTAGAAACCTTGTCCTCCATATCAAATTAATTCTTTCCATTTTTTTATTTAGACCTACCAACGATTTTCTTAACGAGCATATTATGTAATACTTATTATATAAATTGGTATCAATTTTTTAAATACTTTATTCTAATTTCTGCAATAAAGTAAAAAAATAAACCAAATCACCGCATTTTAAATTTAGTACACGTTTTACCCATATACCTACTGCAGTTTTTTAAATTATACCTAGTTTTAATAAGGTATATTGTTACTATTATTTTGTTATGAGACTGTGGAATCCACCAAGAAACGCGCGCTTTGACCTTATTTTAGATTTCCTGATGAAATGAGAAATATTTTGCAACAACTACATATTATAGACTCATAGATTAGGAAAATATTTATTGAAGTTTACTCCAATTCGTTATCGTGACACATTCTTCTGACCAATCTAATTTATTTAGGATTAAATGCGATTATCACAACGAAAGCGAGTATTGCTCAATTAAATTTGTTAGCATTTTCGTATTTGATTCTGTCGCGGTTATAAAAAATTATTATTGAAGATGATATACAGGGTGCTTAAATTAACAATATTGTTTTTAAGTATTTCCCAAAGCAGTGCAAAAATTTCAATACCTGTAAGTATTTACATTTATAAAAAAATATATAGCCAGTCAAAATTCTAGGGGATTTCCCTATAAATTTAGGGGATTTATCTAGAATCTAGAAAATACATTTTGTGACATTATAGGTACATCACATACTCCATTAATCTATTTTGTACATTAAATATGTTTTAGAAACTGCATTTAAAATTATTTTTTTTAGTTAACCATGTGCAATGCAAAACACATGTTAAATGGTAATACTCAAAAGATAAAATTGAAATAAGTATTGCCAACCCTAAAATTTTGTATATGAAAAAATATTTTTGTTCATAATTAATCATATATATTTTGCACACTTATATGTGATGCAAGTGCAACTCTTTGAAATATCTTTTATCGTTATTTTAAATTTTTTTCATATAAAAATTTACATTGTGTAAAATTATTAAAATTAGGCCATCCCCTAAAAAATAATGCCAACATATTTGCATGTTTCAGAGTGATTTGAATGTGATTATAACAAGTTTAACAAAATGCCAAAGGAGTGGGCAATATCCAGTTGAGGTTTACAATGTTGTAGTTAATTTAGATAAAGGAAAGATACGAGTTACAGGCACTTTAAATACATCAATTGATCTTGTTTCTCCAATAAAGGTAGTGAAAATATTTATGGAACACATATAATGTTAGATAAGTAATTATATTTCTGGATAAGAAAATAGTTTAAATGAATATTTTATCTAATTTATAATTTTTTAATTATTATTACGATTAGATGTAATTTTGTAGGCGATATTAAAAGTTGAAAAGGACGAACTTGGAGCTTGGATAGAAATTCCTTGCATTAACAGTGTTGGATCCTGTACTTATGACGATTTATGTATTCACAGCATTCCATCAAACGAAAGTTGTCCTAAAAGTTTTATCGATAATAATGTGCCGTGCAGATGCCCCATCCCAAAGGTAGAGTTTATAAACAATAGTTTTCAAAAATAAAAAATGTAAATATGTAATTAATATACGCACTTTTAGGGAAATTATACAATTCCTTCATCATTGCAATTTGAAATATATCCAAATGATTATTCATCTGTCTATAATGGGAAGTATTGGACAAGAGCCACCATACTTCATAAAAATATGAATTTAGCATGTTATGAGGTTTACTTTACGATTGAAAATAGTATCCATGAAGAAAATAATGAAATTGATATGGATTATGATAGTTACATGAACAGAATATTTGTTACATTAGTGTAAATATATTATTAGTAAATTTTATGTGTAAATAAATGATTAATATCTTTGTACTTTTTTTAATGTAATTTACGTTTTATCTATGTAAGCAATAAAATATTGTTTTCGTGATTTAAAGTCAATATCTTATTCTAATTAATGATCAACATTAGCCCTTATATCGATTGTTAATACTCAAAAAGTGTTTGAATGTGGTTTTGATCTAGTTCAATGCGTAATACAATGTCCTCCATGTTGGTATACCCTCCAAAAAATAGTATTACCTACTTTTGGTGCACTCCCATTCCAACCTAGCTTAAAGCTGTAATGTAAGAATTTAAAAAAATAAACACTTTGGATATCAAGGAGAAATCATAAGCACTATATAATTTTTTATTAAATAAAGTTAACATGAAGAATTAAAAAATTAAATAAATCATTAAATACTATTAACAAGTTTTACCTAAAAATATAATCAAATTTAACAAATAAAACCAGCGATATATGTATTTACGACTCCATTACGTTTAAGTCTTAACTATATAAAATACTGACATTAAAACGGAAATAATGAAAGCACACAAATTATTACTTCTTAACTATTTTTTCATCTAAAACATTCCCCTGCCCATCAGGTGCAGGCCTACAATCGGAGAAGTTTGTAATTAAACTTGTATCACTATTCGAGGTATGCGAAATACTGGACCCGCTATTATTTTTCGAAGAGCCGGCATCACAAGAACCTCCATATAATTGCTGAAATCTCAACGGTTCGAATCCCAAAGATGACTGTATGTTGGGACGAGACGAATGATCCAATTCCTTTAAAATAGCTTCCGTGTCTATGTTTATCGCACTGTAGTCGTTATTTAAGGAACATCCCGATACATAGCGGCTAGCAAAGGTATTATTCGTGTCTGCTGAAATTAACGACAGCTTTTCTAATAGAGTGTCTATTTTCTGTTTTCCCTCCTGCAGGTGTTTATCCAAGGTCGATAACTCCTTCTCCCTCTCTAAAAATGGTATTACAGATTATGGCAACTGTAATATATTTCTTCTGTAGATATATTAATATTAATAATTTAGAATATTTTTTACAACAATCATAACATCCTATAAACATGATTTATTAAACAATTTCGTATAATTTTTAATTTTATTTTAGAACATTAGTTGTTTATTAGGTATTGTTGGGTGTAATTCAATGTTAGTTGGCGCATGTAGCCCGTTTCCCGTGGGGATTACATATTTTTACATACTCGGTAGACAAGAAGCAGACAATTAAAAAAAAATAAGAGACACCCATCATCGTATCAATTTAAAAACACTGCAACACCATTAAACTTATACCAATTTTATGCAATTAGTACTCACCTGAGTTACTACTCAATCCTAATATGCTGCCATTATCCTGAGTTAGAGATGACGCTGTATTTGAACTGCTAATTATATTTTTATCTGCACCTTCTTTTGGATCACAACCTTTTTCTTTTATAGTCAACAGCGGCAGCGATTTGCTTGTTGAACTCTCACAATTCATCTCATTTTCCTTACTATGACTGATATTTAATTTCTTCGCTTCTTCTTCGAAATCGATAAGATCAAAATCCTCTTCGATACACAATGTGTTAATGTCTCTTTCAAAATCTTCTGCAACTCCATCACTAGAACTGTCAGAATCGTCGTTAGTAACTTTTGACAAACGTAACCTTAACCTTTGCGTGATTTCATCTAGTTCTGTAAATTTCCTTTTAAGAGCCCTTGAGAACACCTCGGAAGGTTCGTCTTCTGGTTTGGATGTCTTTGTTTCTACGTTTTCGGTGGATGCATTACAGCTGCACTCCTCCTTCCGCAGTGTATATTTCGAGATGTCTTCTAACGGCATAATGTGAATCTAAAAACTCAGAAGTTAGCAGTGGACGATAGTAAACAAAGAAAGTTTTGCTTACGTTTATTTGTCCATTACACTTTCCCGTAAAGTCAATGATATTAAACCAACCCTTTACGTTAGGGAATCCTGCCAAAAGTATAGTTAAGTCAACGGCTGCAAAACCAAGTACGACGTCAGTTTGCATATTCGGTGATAATACCGCATTAGTAGCCTTTCTCCAGACTTTGAAAATTAAACGCCTTTGACCCTAAAATTAAAGAGTAAATCAAAGTAGTCAAACTAACTACTATAGTAGTTTTCTATACAAAATATTATTCAAAGATAAAATATTTTAAAAACTGCAGTCAATAAATGACATAATTATTTGTTTATCATGTTTCATTGGAATTCCTGTATTATTAAAGTGAGAGAATGATGATATTGGAAACATCAGCATCGAACACTTACATTACATTTACATCATCAATTCTGTTTATGTTGCTAAGTTGACATAGCCAACAATGGCCAATCGTAGTAGCTAGTCACTTAAACGTAAATCTTCGTTACACTGAATTTTATCACAACAAAAGGCAAATGCAAATACCTCCCTTGATTGACAAATCGTTTATGTCTTATCGGAATCATACAATTGATTTGTGCATTTATCTGTTTTGAGAAAAATGGTCATGGACATATTTTACCTCGTTACTTTATAAAATGATCAAAACCTCAATACATTTCAAATATTTTAAGTAAATCTTAAAAAATGGAAAGTACCCTCTATTATCTACAAAAAGTAGGTAAATTAATTACTCACATTTGTCAAGAGGTCTACTGATAAATTTTCTTCACATTTAAAATTCCAAGCAGGATTAGTTGTTTTCCCAACAACTGGTGTAATTTTAAGATCGTTCTCCGATGTTTCAAAAGTAACGTAACAGCTGGGTAAAACATTATCTTCATTTTTAATTGACCTATTTCTAGATTTCTTGGACTTACATTTTTTTCTACTAGGTAAATGATTGGCACTATTTATTGCTATACTTGCTTTAAACGTCCCTGCAACAAATTATCAAAAAAAATGTCTTAAATGTTCTATACAGGGTGTTACAAAATAACAGGACTAAGGGACTGTGTACTAACTATATTTCAATTAAAATATAAAACACATCACAGAAATGAGACAGCCCCCAAATCCAAAGCCAAAGGCTGTGCGGAAGGGGGCTACACTTGAAAAAACGGGGACAAACACCCATTATCCATCGACATTGCCAGTGCCGAAGCCAGGGATCAAACCTAGACCAGGATAGGAAGCCTGGCCGAGAAATGCTTGCCACCGCACTCTCGACCAACTACGCTACCGTGGCGATAATTAGTTGCCTCTTTACGTACTACAATTAAAATACAAAATAAAAAATATATATCTATACATACAAAGTATATTACCTGGTTTCTTTTCACTGCTTTTAATATTTAGTGGGCCATCCAGAGATAACGCTTTTTGTAGAGAGTCTAGTAGGTCAGTGGTTTTCCTTAATTTCAAATTTGTATTATTCTGAGCGTCTTGTAAACTTTTACTGCAATTGCTTCTGCTGGTTTCCAATGCATCGGTATTTGTACTGTTTTCTACAAAAACATTCTTTTGCCTTTGAACCAACAGCTGATTCAAAAAATTTCCCAACATTTCTTGCGTCGGGCTAATTTTGTCTTTATCTTGTGTGTTGGGCACTTCATCCATTTTTAAGTTTAACTGGGTACCAACATCAAATTTTTGTATGGGAGGAGTAAACACTTTCTTAGGAGATACAACGGTATTGACTGCTTTATCTGCAAAGTTATGTTTGTCCTTTTCTTCAAGCTCCGAAGATAATCCTTTAGTACCTTCCAATTTATTTAAATCGGAACTTCTATTAGTAACATTGTGTATAAATTTGTTCCTGTTTTTTGACAGCAAAATGTCTCTTATATTGTTTTCATGTTTAAATTTATAAACACGATTTGGTTCTGTATGTTGTTTTTCCGTAGTTTGTTGTTCACATTTATACTGGGATTGGGAAGTAAACAATTTTGCTTTTACAATGTTGTCTGCGAAACCCCTTTCCGATTTTAAATTACTAATTTGTTCTTCTGTACCGAGTGCGGAAAGAATCTGAACTTGTCCTATAATATTGTCTGTATCCACACTGTAAATTGGTTCCCACCAATCTGTGTCAATTATGGGCAACTAAAATGAAGTTGAATTCATAAAAATGTTTTAGAAGCATTGGAGTAGATACTACAAAAAGTGTAATTTCCTTACCTTGTTTTTAGAAAGGTATTTTACAAAAACAGGATTCCTGTAAGCAAGATAAAACTGATGTAGAGGAATTTTCGTTAAACCAATTATGAGATCCGTTGATTCTATTTTCTTCCAAAATTCAATGACCATATAGTTTTCTCGTAACAATTGAAGCAGCTCATCTTCATATAGTAAGGGGACTAACTATAAAAAATCAATAATCAAAAATATCACCACAGTGAAAAACAGTTTATGTAAAATTACCTGGGAAAAATTAAAAACAGGGTTTGACGTATCAGTAATCAATTTGCTACAAGATGTTTCACTCTGACCAAAAGGTCTACAAGTAATGTATGTATTTATAGGAGGGCTTAAAAACTGCACTTCTGATATGTAGAGAAATCCAAATAATATCTGCTTCTAAAAATATTTATTTAAAAAAAAACTGATGTAAATATTTTCGTTACAAAAACCTATGGGAAATTTTAAGCTAAACAAAAGAACTCATATGAACATATAAAAGTAGTAAATATAAAATTTCCTGTAGGGTTCTAAAATTTATATACTTCGTATAAAGACATTTTGAAACAAAAGTATAGATAGGGGTATTATTATCAAAAATAGTAAAAATTTGTATGCTAAATTTTATTACCTCATTGTCGCTAATTTGTGGTTTTAAAACTTTTTTATTTACTGGGTCACTAATTTCATATTTGCTCGTTTTGTATTCATTTTTATTATATTCTCTTACATTAATATTTTGTATTGTACTGTTTTGTGCAAGCTTTTCTGTTTTTTCGGTCAATTTAGTTGTCTTTAACGCTGCTGATTTTGGGAAATTATTTTCATTTATTTCTTGTTTCTTACATGTTGTACTTTTTTTGGGTGCAATTTCCCTGATGGTCTGTTGATTTGTTTCCACAGTGTTTTTATCTTTAACTGGATATTTTTTCAAATTACTGTCTTTTGACAAATCATCATTTTGTGATATAATATTATAGAAAAATTCTTCTCTGTTCAACTGGTTTGTGCTGTCGTCACTATCTAATACAACTGGGTTTCCGTTAACGGAATTTATGGCATCTAAAATAAATTATATTTTTGTTGTAATTTATTGTTTTAATTATGTAACTTTTATGTGGACATTTGAGTAACTACTTCTTCAAGGTAAGAACAAACGGTTTCAATGTCTATAATAATATGGACCTAAATTGTATACAACATTGATTGTACATACCTATAAATTCTTGTCCAAAGTATAACCTTCCACACCCTAATGAAAGTGAAACTTTCAAATGGCCAATGACGATGGGTGAACATTCATTTAAAAAAACGGGTAAATTTCTGGTGCATACTAAATTTTTTGATAAAAGAAAGGAGCCTAAATTGAACTTAGCAAATCCTAAAGTTGACGCGTTCTTCTGTTTTTGAGTTCTGTAGCTTATTTTAAATTTAACTTCATAATCATCTAAATTGCATATATCCAAATTCTTGATATCATGGATTGTTATTTGTTTGAAATTTATCGAATCATTACTCCTTCTGGAGCAGAACCTAACGAAGTTATTTTCTAAACCAGAATTCACTTTAGACTTACTTGTGGTACTCTTATTAATAATGCAATCAGGTAAATAGTACTCTAAAAAATATGTCTGACTAAAATTATAAGGCACTTTATCACTGTCCGATACTTTTCGATTACCGATTTCGTTTAACATAAGACTATTTACTACCACTTTCAAAGAATCTACATATCTCAGCAAGTTTTTGTTTTCATTTTTATATTTTTCTTGGATGTCTTTGGTTATTTCACTAGATGGATATGATGGGTTGGTATTATCTACAACTTTATTTTTTCTTTTTAGGTCACAATATAAATTATTTGAATTATATATTTCACAAATATAACACTTGCAGGTACTTAAACAAGTAGAATTTAATGTTCTCTCAGTAGTTTTACACAAATCTGGTGCAGACATTGACCGCAAAGTATCTAGAGCTAATTTTTCTTCATTTTTTGTCATGTATTCACCTTTAAGATATGCTTCTAGTCTTTTTTCATCAACTGAAGTTAGTGGGTCAATTATTGTATTATTAATTAAATCATTGCTACTTGTTCTAGGAGTGTTAAAGTGTTTATTGTACATAATATCTATATTGAAGGGATCATTTTTTAAAATTGATCCAACCATGGCATTTCTTAATTTTTGACCTTGTTCTAATATCTTATTTACTAAACTTGCATCCACAATTTTTACGTTACTGCTTGCATTAAAGTGATGCATTTTAAAAATTTCTTATGAAATAAATAAATATTGAAAATTGTAGAAACAGAAATATTTATGTTTGTGATTAACTGTCAAACGTTAACTCTGTCAAGTACAAGCCTAGTGTCAACTTCCTCAACATCAAAGAAGCAATGAGGTAACAGTAAAATAACATAATTCCCTAGTTTCGAAACGCTTGGTACCCCGGAAAAGTAGTTTTGAGTTAGATATCATAATCCTGATTTACCTTTACATTTTTAAATTTGTAAAAAAACATCATACATCATAATATGAATTAAAATTAAATGTTTAGAATACCTTTAAAGATGTAATTAAAGCAAAAAGGTAAATATTACAAAATTATTATTTTCAATTTCTCTTATGAATTTACTTATTACACTGCGTACATAATTTTCAAACTACACTTTTGGTTTCTTATTTCTAGACATTATTATCCCAATATTAATACAATTTATTTAATAAATTTGCAACAGACTGTCAAGAGCTTTCAATCAACATAAAACAACCTAGCAGTTAAATACTTTAGTTTTTAGCGCGAACATATGTTCAATAATTTGATTTTACTTAAATGGCAATTCATTTTATAAAATAATGTTCGATTTGTCGAATCAATGCAGATATATCAAAATTACTTTCCCTTGGGTAGGTAACAAGCGTTTTGAATTTTATTAATGGCGACTATAAATCACTGTTCATTCTATTCTGCGCATATTTAAAAGGAAATTATAAATAGGATAATACATGTAAAACCTATAAGTACAAAAATATATATACTTACAGAAAACTCAATCAAGCATGAAATTGTCAATTCTATACACCTACAAGCTATTTAAAAATAAATCCTCATATACACATTCACTAACTAGTGTAAATATTTAATACCAACTGACATGTATGTAGGATAAAGTCCCTAAAGTTGAGAAATATACAGGGTGTATAATGTTAGACGTGTTAATGGATTCTATGCGATGAATTAAAAAAAAATCTATAAATATAAATGTTTTATTTTTGAAATATATGTGGTCAGGGTATGAACATGCTCCGATTTTTTTACGTTTAAAAGCATTGGTGTCCAGAATTAAATTATTGGTATTTCTCTGTATTACCTATTTATTTCTCGTGAGACTATTTCAAATTTGATTTATTTCTCTCTTGAAAGGGTATGACAGTTCTTTCTCAAGTCAGCATTAAGAATGGCAAAGAGCTGAAACTACAAATGAATTTGTAAGCTAAGCTGAAAGTTACAAAAAATACATTAGATTTTTTTGCAAGTACTTGCTGGCGGATTTTTTTAGTTTGCAAAATCAATATTACTTTATATGTTATTTAGTCTAACAACGATACCAATAACACAGAATATAAGTGTTTAATTCTGTGCCAATAATTCTAGTCTCCCTGTACATAATAATGCATACAATTTTTACATCCTAAAGAGGTGATTGAACTATTTCTTTATACCTCAGTACGCTATTGCCATGTGGGTGAATAAAAAAGGAAAGATGAATACTTATATCTGGCTATTCACACCTTTTCTCCTAAATAAATAAAACACATATTCAAATACTACCTTTAACATGTTTCATCTCTACTGTTAAATTACCTACATTTCCTTTACTGTGTTTTTCCTATCAACAGTGTAGGATGTACTCGTACTTGAACTAGATGTGTCAGATATAGTTGAAATATAATGTGTTATTAAGGTTAACCATTTCTCATGTTTATAGATTTAAAATTATCTGTAGGTAATTATTTTAAATTAGTTTAATTGTCAAATTATTGGGAAAATTAAAATAGTACCTATTTGCAAGGAAAATTCTAATGAAACTTGGCAACACCGCAAATGGTGAAGCTTTGTTTTGATACAGTAGATTGTTTAATGTTTAACGACTGAATTTTAATTGGGTACAAACAAATACTTCGGTACTTTTTGAAGAAATTGTGTGAAATTTGTGAGTGAAACTGTTAAGTTTTCGATAAACATAAATTATCGCCTACTTATTTTCCTTGTTTGGCTTACAAAAGGGCAGAAGCCAGAATTTTGGACGCGCATGGTTGTATAAACTAAGTTTTAAAACGGGTAGTACGAATAAAATCAATAGAAAGGCCAAGGGCCTAGCCAAAGAAGCTTTGAAAATTTATCAAGTTCAGGTACAACTTGTGAAAGTTTAGTTAAAGGATAAAGTACGAGTAAAATCGTATTTTGTCATAAAAAAATGAGTAACGTTAATGAAGAAAAAAGTGAGGATAAGAAAAATATTGAAATGGAGGAAAGGGAAAAAATGTTGAACGCTTCAAATAAGGCCCACGAAAAAGAAATTGATGTTGAAAATTCAGAAGAAAAGAAAGGTATTGCAAAGGAGATTAAAGAAGGGATGGAAGTGAAACCAAAAAAGATTCCTATAGGAGGTATCCAGATGCCTGGATTTTTTACAAGAAGTAAATCAAAGGAAAGGTGCAAGGTAAAATAATAAACCATAATTGTACTTATCTAACAAATATCTAGTATTTTTGTTATACTTAATTAGGATGCTAATACTTAGGTATGTTTTATTTTTTATTTATTAACATTGCATACCTACAATTTTAATATTCTATCAACTCATCAAATTTTTTGTCACAACTAGAGTTTAGGCACTCATCCAAGGCCGCATCTAAGGGTCTACTTTAATAGTAATATAATTACCTCGATAATTACTATTTTCGCATAGGAATTAATAAAAACTGAACCACTTTTCAAGGTGATTTCCAAAACTTGCTACTCATTTTTGTCATTTATGTAAAAAATGAATTATCTTATTCATTTTAATTTATCTGTGAGTAACTTGCTGATGTGATTCTTTTTCAACTAGTTATTAAGGATTTGGGAACACTGGAATATGTTCATCTTTTTTTAACAGGGAAAAATAATCTATTTTTTTTAAAGGAGGATAGTGAAAATATGGAACAAGAAGGGACAGACCTCATTGACAGAAATACCGAAAACAAAGATGATTCTCTTAATTCTCAAACAAAAATTAAATTACCAAATCCATTTAGAAAATCAAAAATCGAAGAAGAAGGTACAGATATAAAACCTATATTTTATTATTCTGAATAGTTTCTAATTAACCATGTTTTTAAGGTGATAAACCGTCAGAAACCAAAGAAAAGAAAAAACTTTTGGATACTATAAAATTACCGTTAGTATCAGTTTTTCCCAAAAAGAAGAAAGAAGGAGAGACTTTAGAAAGCGCACAAGCAGAACTGGCTTCCATGGAAACATTGGATGAGAAAAGTTCAGATGACAAAAATGATGAAATGAAAAATGTTGCATTGGACGACAAAAAGGACGTGGAGATGCAAGGTCCTGAAGATGTGACAACATGGAAAGATAAATTGGGAACATACAAAATTGCGATCAGTATGTACATTTTTTTTATCTACATTTTGTCGAGAGGAGTGAAAAATTTATACATTAAAATACTAACTTTTGTTATTAATTTTCATTAGGTATTATCTACTATAATTTTTGTTAAAATATTTATCAAGTTACTCAAACATTGCTCAAATTTTTTAAATTAACCGTAATAATAAAAGTAAAAATACGTCGGAATAGCCTGTATATATATTTAAAATTCAGTCCTTATTATTTCAACTTCTTTTTAGGTGCCTTACTGGTATTTTTGTCGTTAATAGCAATCATAATATTCATTGCTATTTCTGGTAATCGGGTTAGCAATTCTCCTCCTGTTAAAGATGGACGCTTTGTGGAAACGATAACAAGCTGCGGAAAAATTGAAGGGTAAGTTTACAATAATTTACACGCATAATGTTATTAATAAGCTCCGTGGGTCAATTACAGACATCGCAGGGTCTGTAATTGTAAGTAATTGGATCTGTTCGACCACATACTATGTTACAATCAGAAATACACATAAAACATAAAAATTAGGTCATATATAATAAAAATATTCAGTACGGCAGCTGTAAGAATTTGAGTTGATCACTTTTATGCATTAAAAGTGTTAAAAGTCTAATTTTTTTATTATCATTATTCTGTTTCAGTCTGTTAGAAGACAGTGCATTTGCTTTCCGTGGAATTCCATATGCACGCCCTCCTACAGGAGATCTACGGTTTAAGTATGCCCAGCCTTTGAATAAGTTAGAATATTGTTGGAACGGAACATTTTTGGCTCACAATGCCACTGATCTCTGTCTTCAAATATTGAGCAATGGAACCGTTATAGGAAAAGAGGATTGTTTGACACTAGATGTCGTAACGCCATATGTTCGCTACGACAACCCTTTGCCAGTAATAGTGCTAATCGGTTCAGAAAGTTTAATTGGAGGTTCACCGGGAAAAATGAGGCCGTCAGCCCGTTACGCAAGGTCCAGGGATGTCGTGTTTGTACGTCCGAATTTCAGACTGGGCGTACTTGGATTTTTAGCTTTAGAAACCCTTTCAAAGTCAGATTATCCCAACACCTCTGGAAATTATGGACTGTCTGATATTCTATTAGCACTGCAGTGGGTTAAATTAAATATCGAACACTTTGGTGGAGATCCGAAATCTGTAACGCTATGGGGTCACAGGGCTGGTGCTACCTTGGTTACAGCGCTGTCGACAATGAGTGACGCTCATAAATATTTCACTAGAGCCTGGGCGTCTTCAGGTGGAGCTATTTATCCCAAGAAACCAGTAGTCCACTCAGAAATCGACAACAAAAGTTTTCTTGGCGCGGTGCAATGTGAAAACGCAGAATGCCTGAGAGGAGTGGATGCAGAAAAATTAGTTTCGGTGGTAGAGGACACTTGGAGGAAGCCTCACCCTGATCTTCCGTCAAAAGACGAAGATCCAAGTAGAAGACATCAGTGGCTGGTAAGTACTGTTTTTTATTCACGGTTATTGTTTTTTAATAATGATGTATTTTTAATGTGACATTAATTTGCCAACCGTTTTAATAAGGTATAAGCGGTAAACAGTTGAATTTTTAAATTTATATTTTTCTAATTTATTTTTAATAGAACGAGATCAGAAAATGGTAAAAATAAATAATGGGCAAAAACTAAAATCATAGAATATAGGGTGTGGCGTGTATAATCTATAAAAATTAAACTACAGCTTCCTGACCGTATTAGTAATAGAAAAGTCTTATACGAAAAAGTTCTATTTTCACGTTTTTTTTTTTGTAAATTAATGTTCAATTATGGAGCAAAATATTTTCTCTGAAACGGTCCTATCTGTGTGTTGTACGATGAGTTATGTGCTGTAGACCAGCCGCGTAAACAAATCGTCGTTGGAAGATAAAAAGATACTTCTCAATTTTTGGGGAATTTTTCAATGCAAAAGTAGAAATTAAGAAAAATAGATATTAAAAAAAAACTGATATTTTCTTATTATAATAATTAATAGTAATTACTATCTTAAATGCATTATTGTTACTGCAAGAGTTCATAAACAAAACCACATCTCTAAGCATCTGTAGTTGCTAACTGCGTGCATTAAACAAACTCCATTAAAATATGGAACAAAATGAAATAAAACTTCCCATTTCTAGAGAAAATGTTGAAATTGATCCCCATTAGCGCGGATACAGGCATGGCACTGACGCACCCAATTTTGGCGAATATTTTCCCAAATTCCAGGTATTTCCCTAATTGTGTCAGCAGCTTTAAGTATACGATTTCGCAATTCTTCCACCGTAGCAATTGGAGTATTGTAAACCAATGACTTCAAGTGACGGGTGAACGTGGTGGTCACGGCACAGGACCAAAGCATCCAGTCTGAGGAAACATTTCATTCAAAAGTTTCGTTACTTCTCGAGTACTGTATCTTCATCGCGTATTATGCCAGCCCAAATATTTACCAATAACCGATGTTGAAAATCAGTTTCCCTAATCACGTGAGGATTTTCATCGGCCCATATGTGCATATTATTGAAATTCATTTCATCACGGGTAAATGTCGCCTCATCTGTTACACAAACATAAGCAAGTCTACTTGATTGACACATTCCTATAAAAAACATCTGCAAAAACGCATTCGTTGATCACAATCCGGGGGTAAAATCTGTTGAACTGGTTGCAGATGATAGGGATGCAACAGCTGGCGCCTTAAGATGCGATGTATAGTACAAGATGAGGTTCCTACTTGCTGTGCGAGTCATCGAGTACTAATCGTGGGGTCTTCATCAAGATTTTCTAATTCTGCATCTTCAACATTAAGCTTCACTTGCTGACTACGTCCTTCTCCTCGAGGAATAACACTTCCCGTATCTCGCAGCCCTTGAACGCACTGTAGGATTGTATTTGCACATGGGGGTTGACGTTGCGGCCATCGTTCCTGGTACAACCTAATCACCTCGAGCACATTTTCTCCGGCTGCACCATACACTAACACCATATCGACATGTTCGGAAATAGTAAATGTATTGTTTTCTCGGTACATTGTAAAACTAGTTGGTGCACAAACTAAAAAAATTAAGCAAAGTAAGAAATAAGAATCTCGTTTTTAATGTAATCGGCACGCTGCTCTTACTTTTTACTTCTTTATAAAAATTACACTGTCACTATTGTGGAATTACAAAAAAAAACTTTTGTCCGAATTCTTTCACTTTTTAACACTGATGGGTCGATGGATGATGCTTAATATTTAAAAATTAAGTGAATAATGTACTCAATACAAATACAAAATCAGTTGACTGCACAATTTTTTTGACAAGTAACCTAACCTTCTTTTAGTATTACTAGTATTAGATTATACCGACTTAAATTATAAGGTTGTATCTCGGGTCGCATAAAAACATTTCCAAAGTTTTTAATAAATGACACAGGGTCGGCCTTCATTTTCGTTGAATAAATAAACTTTAATTTACAAAAAAAACACGAAGATAGAACTTTTTCGTATGAGACTTTTCTATTACAAATATCATCAGGAAGCTGTAGCTTAATTTTTATAGATTATACACTCCACACCCTGTATAATGGTGGGAAATTCAATTTAATTTTTTTTAACATTCTTAAATTTGGTTGACAATATTTTTTTGTGACGGTAGTCACCAAAAATTACCAAAATAACCGAAGTCAATGCCATAAGTGACCAGCAGCATTTGAAAATTACCAGTGAATATTTAAAATGATAAATTTTTACGAATATTTCAGTAATTCCTTTAAAGTCATTATTTATAGTTTTCGATAATTATTTTTCTTATAGCAATTTTACACAATTGATATACTTTATGACTTTGAATTAATTCATGAAGAAAATGTAAGAATCGAATTGGCTCTAATTTTTCAACACTTTTTTTAGTGAATTTTGATTACATTTTGATTTAAAAATATAATGCCAACAGTGTTTTTTGGTAGAATTGGGCTAAATTTCTCCTTTCAGGGATTTGAATTATCGATGCCAATTCACTTGTTGGAATCGATGCTTTCAACTTGTTCATGATTGATTCCAAATCTGCCATGGTGGTGTCAAAATTGATAAATGCCACTCAATTCCGTTCTATTAATGATACAAAAACCGTTGATTCAACTTTATAATTAAGTACTTGAGATATTTAATTATTTGGTTTATTTTGTACAAAAATAACAGTTCCTTTATTTATTTTAACGAAAATGTCCCATAAGTTTATGATCAGTCACAATTAACCAGTGTGATGCGACTTTTATAAATCCTAATTCATATTTATAAACAAATACATACTTGCAATAACAAAAGCGGATCGGTGGATGGAATGGGATTTGTTTTCTATATCACCTAGTTCTCATTCCCCACAAATCGTTCGCGTTGAAGCAGTGTCAGATTTGTGAATCGTAAATCCAACACCATAGGAATTGAATTCTTCGAATCTATCTTCGGTATCTTTCTTTTGGAACGACTTGTTCAGGACCGACATAGCTCTATTTTTTGGTAAAAATCATTGGTTATCATTAAACACGATTTAAATTGGTTTTGATCCTCATAACTGTACCCATGAACACCATTTTACCACCAAATTCCTTCTAATTCCTATACCACTTGTTACTTCTTTACTACTTTAAATCAAGAATGAACTACAATATATCTTCATGTTACTCTTATTTATTTTGACAAGAGGAACGAATTTTGAAAGTTTATTGCATCGTCCCTTTTACATTGTACATATTTTACATGGATGGTGTGTTTCTTTAAATATTTTAATAAGCAATTGTAAACACGGATGGTTAACAAAAGATATAGGTTTTAGATGGTAGAATCCTCAAGGAACATCCTGCGGATGTGTGGTCTAAGGACGAGGATTTGCCGGTACAGCTGGTAATAGGTTCTACCGCTCACGCCGGTGGTTCACAAAAGCTTCTATTAAAGCACAAAGTTTGGACTGAGGAACTCGTTAAACAGCATGTGAAAGAATCATTCTTGTCTGAAAAAAATCTTACCGATGATGCATTAAAAATGTATCCTCCTACATACAAAGGGCTAAGTGCGATGATATCCGATATAAGGATAGTCTGTCCGCTGTTCGCTATATCTACAGAGATGCATAAAATACCTTTTTATGTAGTAAACCAAACTAGGTTCGAACAAGATATTGCGGACATTGACTCTGATGTAGACGCAATATTAGGACGATATGAACCAAAAACTCCCGAACAGAGGCGATATTTCTCAGCAATGCAAGGTTTGTTTTACCACTATGTTTGGCATGGTAAGATTGAACAGAATATGATCGGTCAAAAAGTATTAGTAGTTGGCCAAGATGTCCTGCCACAAGCTTCATATTCTCATTGTGCTTTTTGGATTGTAAAAAATGTTTCGTCTTATGCTGCATTAGATTAATTTTATTCGTATATTACAAATAAAGGGAGGCTATATCTGGATAAATGAATCTGTAACAGCAAATTTTTTAAAATACGAATCTCCAAAATAAAAATACTCATATTTTATCGCTACCTGGTATTATTATGTTTAGTACCTGCCACTATAAACTAGATAGTGGAATAAAGAGGTATATTAGTACTTCGTGATCTCATTTAAACTTTTGTCTAGATATTCCTCCTAATCATATTTTTTTGTGATTAAGTTTTAATGATACAACGGTACATAACAGTAACAAATATTTTTTGTATGTAAGTTTCATGGAAATTTTGTAGCTGTGACTAAAAATGCTCATTTGAGACATTTTTAATATATTCTTAGGTTTTGTTGACTCAAACCTACTTGTAACTATGAAAAGATTTTGTTTTACTTGCCAACATTTATTTCAATATCGTAAGATCTCCTAGCTGTGACGTATTAATGCTCATTAATTTAGGATTTCAATTAAATATATAATATATTTTACACGTTTACAAAATTTAAATTATATGCGTAGGTTTGTAACAATTTTATGTTATACATATACAATTTTTTTTTTAATTTAGCAGTTATGCCAATGAATTTCTTCTTTATAAAATTGCTGAATAATCGGTATATAATTGATGGACTCGGTTGGTAATTTGAAATAATGCGGAATATGTGGAACAAACCGAAGAGACTTAAAATAAGACTAAATTTATTTAAAATTTTTACGTTTTTACTAATAATACTTATTTGTGAGATTATGTTATAGTACTTATATATTTTATAAGACTGACTTGTCTTGAGCCCATATATCTGCATATTATTTCAAAGCCTAACCATCTGGAGACCTTACAGGTTACTCTTAATTATTTTCTTTGGGAAAATGGACAATAAAAGGGATATACACTTTTATAGAGACTGAAACAGCAATACAAAATACACATCGCTATATATCGCTTACTACTCCAATAAGCTGGCAAACACCCAAAGAAATAAAGAAAAAACTGAAACTGCAACAAATAACTCTTTAAAGGGGTATATCTCTCTTATTATATCTTTTCTAAATAAGTTTATAACATGTTTTCAGTAAGAAAAAAAAAATGTGACCAAGACTTTTTCTCAGAATTAGAATTTTAGCTGTAATATGTTTTTCTTAAGTATTTTAATTAATTTTGTACAAGCTCTATTAACCATAATTTAAACAGAGAAATTTACTGTATTTACTGAAAATCTAAAAATAAGGTTTTTTAACTTAAAAAATAACCGACTGATAAGAAATCGTACTAGCTTTTCATAATATTCTCATATTAATAGACTGAGATACGAAGGGAATATATTTACAAGTTACAGTCCTGAAAAGAAAACCACTCTTCCAAAGTGGAATCAACATCAATTGTTGTTGCAATTATCGTCTGCCAGTTTTATATGTATATTAAACAGAAGTTGAAATATTTTTGAGAAATACATTATAGCAACTGTAGCGTAGCTGTAAGTTAGTAGTAACTCTTAAGGATTTCAGGACTGAATATTGTAATTTTCCAATTTGTTATTAATTACGTTAGTACCACATAAAGGAATGCAGTTTCCCTATCATTTTTTAAATCCAACTGGCAACATTCGGGTTATTGAATATTTCCTGTTTTTACTCACATTTGTCTGGTTGTGATAGCTTTTCATATTTAGCTACTGAATTTTTAACTAAATTTTATGAATTATTGTCTATTAAACTTCACCGATCACCTTCACCTTCAGAACAAAAGTTATTGTAATTTCCTGAGAAGACAATTTTTATTTTTAAATACAACACTGACTTTTTCATTTAAATAGTTTCTTTAAACACCTAATTTTTTCTCTTTGTCGACTACTAATGCTATGAATAAAGGATTTTTCAGTTATATAAGTAAAACTTGTTTAGAAATGTCTTGTTTTTAATGAATTACCACTTGCTCAATAATTTGATTCACTGCATATTTGAAGTTTCTCCATCAGTTGTTCTTATGTCTGAGGCTTTTGAAAGGCTAACTGCATTTCTATTTCTAGTACCATGTACTAACTGTACAAAAACAAGAAAACTAGGAAACTTCTTCGTACATTTCACTAAACAATGAATTCTTTAATGAACAAGCAACGATAACATTCTTTTTTTCAAATAATTTAAATTTATTTTCAATACTGTTTTATACATCAAACCCTCACAGTGGTATTCACAGTCACGTGCTTAATAAAGGCTATTGGATTTTTGAAGTGCAAGAGACGGGTTATGAATACCACTGTTAGATATCCAGCCACAGTTGGTGCATAGTTCTAAGAATGATTTTCTGTAATTATATACTATTTTCTTTACCACATTTCACAAAGAATACACCTTAAATATTATTAATAAATCTGGTAATGTAACATTTTCACTTGATATGGAATGTTGTCTTGAAAAGTCATACAATCATGTGCTTTAAAAAAGATAATTGGTTCAATTTAATTTTGTTTGGCTTCGTTTTCCCTTATCATATATTTTTGAATATATATATTTCAATGTCGAAATATAATAATACATTACCAATTCTGCTACATTTAATTATAATCTCCCAAGCCAGATAAAATCAGTGTATCAGCTTAACTGTATTGCAAAGTACTGTCCATAGTCTGTAATCTATGTAACTAATTATTGTATAAGTAAAATAATTTATATAAATTTTACAATGTACCACGAGAGTTTTTTTTTCGACCTACTTTTTCCTAAAGAATTCCTTGAAAGTGTCTTACGAAGCAGGCCTGGATTGGCCCACCGGGCCGATGCGCCTTTTCCCATAGGTTTGACGCCTTGTGCTGTCAAGGCACCTACATTTTTAAAAAAATCCGATAAACTGATCACATCATGCATGGAAATTGGAAAGACTAAAAATGAAAAAAAAAAGAATGACCAGGGAAGTTAATCCCCAGATTCCCAGGGCAAATTCAATACAGCTAAACCCTAGATAGGCGGGGCAGAGCGAGTTCAATGCTCGTAAGACCGGAGACAAGCGACTTAAACCCTAGATAAGGGAAAGCGAGTTCAATACTCGTAAAACCAGAGACAGGCGACTTAAACCCTAGATAGGCGGGGGAAAGCGAGTTCAATACTTGTAAAACCAGAGACAGGCAACTTAAACCCTAGTTATAGATATATTATAATATATCTACAATTTTTCTTCTTACAAACGATATCTCAGAAAACATGAAAAATTGATATAAGCTACTATAAGTTCGTTTCTAAGTTGTTTATTTTCAAGTACTGAAATAAAAAAAAGTTCAGATGAATCTACATAAAACCAAAAAAAATAAAAAAAAATTAACATTCGAAAACAAAAATTAAGGTTAAGCCTTAAAATGAAATAAATATTATGCCACGGTGCTTCGCACCGCGTCTCATTCATAGCACTTTGCTAGTCTTGAAGAAATTAATTTTTTTGAGATAAAGTGGATCAATTTAGATAAAATTTTGCACATGGTTTCTACTTATTAATTATTATTTCTATACTTAACCATCGAAACGATTTTCTCAATAAAACAATTTTAATCAGATTTTCACTAAAAGCCAAAGTTTGGTTAAAACCATACACATTCGTTTTTGAGACATCACATGAAAAGAATGCAAAAAGTACGTTAATATAAACAGTATAATTACATGCAGAAATAAATAATCGCAATTAATAACCCTAGATGTAATTTTTATAAAGTTTTTTTTTAAATCATTAAATGGTTTAGAGAAAGAATCGTATTGCCAAATCAGTTAGCAGCGGTTTGTTACTTATTGACAAACAGTCGACAATTAATATTTTATTTTTATTTAATAAATAAATAAATGAAATTATTTATTTTTATTATTTGTCTGTCTTCAACAAGGACAAATGTCCTTGGTCTTCAGTTAATAGGATTTTTAGGAAAGTGTTTTGAATTCATTTAAATTAGCCTTTACCTTTAATATAAAGTATAAGTAAAATTCTTGAATTTATATAGATTTTTGTGTTAATCCGCATCTGGTCTATTGCTGCTTTTGCTACTTTAACTTGAATTGTGAGCTTTTCGTCATGAAAAGTTTTATAATTTCTAATGGTATCTGGATGAAAACACCAATTCTGTCATGAATATATTTATTATTAAATAGTAAATTATAAATATGAATTTTAAAACTAAATACACTTAATTTGTTTGCGGTAAAGTACCTACAGAACAGATTTTTTACCCTTTGGAACCAATATCTACAATTATTTTAGAGAAAATAATAGAGATATTGAGTCCTTATATACTACACTACAATTCAGAAATAAAAAAAACCATGGCAAGTATCTACCGCATATCTACATATAGCTTCCGAGTATGTTCCATACATCGTTTATGATTTACAAATAGAATGCAAATTTTAATGAAAACTGTATGTCTAATATTGCACTGGATTTATGTAAAAACCCCGTTTTTAACGCATTAGCTTTGGTACTCTTTAGTAACAGTTAAAGAGTAAGTATATGTATTGTCAAATTAAACACAACTACATCATTTCTAATAAATTTTGACTAAAGAACCTATGAAAGATAAGCAAGCTGTATAATTTCGTGCTTTAAGCTACCTACAAGGAATTGAAACTATTAAATGCATATTTATAATATCACTACTACTGTAAAAAAAGCCTGATGCATAGCATAATCATAAATCAAGTGCAATAACGTAGTTTATCGCCAATAAACCAAACTTCGTACAGCCGATTTACAGAACATTTAAATTGTAATAAGCGCTACTTAATAATACTCGTGTGGTGATCTTCTTGCGTAATGTCTACCTTGTGGTCTTACCACGTCTAATTCAACATAATCATCGGCGTAACGGGGCGGTTGGTGGTGATACGGCGCTGGTCCATGAGCTGGTGCCATGTATCTGGGATCCTCATAAATGGTTATGCGCCTCTTGCTTACCGGAGGTTTATGGTAGGCTTCCATATGAGGCGGTGGCGGAGGAGGATGATGGGGATATCCATAAGGAGGTTTGTCCATATATTGTTCTTCATGGTATCTACCGGTTTCACCATAGTCATTAGCGGCGTTCTGCTTTCCTGTATTTTCTCTTCCATCATAATAGTTGTTCCGGTGGTACTGTTGTCTGTCTCCGTGGTCTCTATCATATGCCCCCGCTTGGTCATACAGTCCTCGTTTAGTGCCTTCGTTTGCGTAGTGGGCATTGTCCATGTTGCCAACACGATGACGTCCTTGGCCCAGATTTCCATAGGTTCCTGAGGATTTGCAATAAAATTTATATTAATTGATGGGACTTGCAAACAATTTCAGTATAGATTTTTTGATGTTTCAAAAGACATGATGCCCTGTTCAGAAGAAAATATATCTGGTTTGAGACAGTCTCCCTGTTATGGAAAGGTAAGTTATGAGGATTAAGGGCACAACGAAATTTGAAAAAAATATAGCAAAACTTAGAAAAGAGACATGTGTCATGTGTTAAGGAATCGTAAAAACTCAAGATTTAAATACTTACCTTTCTGAGTCCTGTACATGTACTGATCCCCTTCATCAGCAGCATCATCAAAGAAACTGGAGTTACTTCCTTGTTCGTCCTTGTGGTAAGAGTTGGTGAAACCTGACTTGTGATGTCCTTTTTTGTGTGCGATTTTATTTCCAACGTCAGAGAGACTACCGCCCCCGTTTTGGAAAAATTGTTCTTTGTTCAGGTGACTCTGGTCTAGGTGATCTTTCCGTTCACCATTTTGTTCAGCAAAATTTCCCGAGTCGGCGGAGGCTACGTGTTTTCTTTCGTTGCCTCTGTTGAAACCTTCGTCGTCCTCAAAATTTGAAATTCCTGGATGAAAAAGAAAAAGCAGGAATCAACGATTTGAAAACATAAATTATATCACAGGTTTTAAAAAACCACAGAGGTAATGCTAATCTATACAACACACCATATTTTGTAGCAGTAAGGAAATTAAAATCTATTTGAAATTAAAATAAACTTATAATTTTTTATTTTGTACTAAAAGTCTAAATGTTTTCATATTTTTGTATTATTGAATTAACTGTAAAAGGAAGTTTTCTGTATAATTTTACATGACTAAATTTTCCAACAAAAAGAAATCCTTATGTACAGGAACAAGGACGAATTCTGTAAACAGGCTCTTTAGAAACACGGACGAATTCCATAAACACGTCCTTTTAATTCCTTTGTGGAATGGTAGATGCCGTGTAAGGCAAGTTGGAAAAGATTGAGAAGATACTTTTCCTTGGTTGGAAATGTGTAAGTAGTGGGCACAATGTGGCACTCTATGTTGTCTAATGTTGATAATAATAAGACCAAGAAAAAGTATTTGAAATACACTAGAAGAATAAATTTAAAAAAATTAGAATATATTTTTTAAGTCAATTTTGGAAGTCCGCGGAAAAATATCTTTCTGAAACACATAACTTAATTTTTGGCGTGAAGTGTTCAAGCCAAAAGCTCACAGTTCGGATAATTGATTAGTTGTTTATTCATAGTGAATTCCATCGAAGGTCTTTAACGAATCCGTGTAAATGACATCCGCGAATAGTTGTTCTCAACAATGTCCGTTAATTTAACCTAATTAGCTTTCAACGAGTCATGATTGTTACGGTTTTTTAAAAGGATTTTTGTCATTATGAGTTCTGCGAAGCTATTCGTTTAAGTTTAGCAATTAAATATCACAATAGTATTGGTGTTAAATATTTGAATTAGTTTTCGCGTTGGTCATTTATGTATATCAGATGAGTGGCAGATTTCTAGTTCTATTACTGATATTGGTAGATGAAATTTAGATTAATATGTCGTTAGTGATGGCAATGAATAACTCGTACAATTTCAAATGTATAGCCGAAAATAATTTTGGGAGCATTTAAATATGTATGTACCTATCTTTTATTTTCATCAGTATAGAAAGATGATGTGACCATTTGTATATTATTTTTTGAAATTTTCGCAGCTAAACAATTCCTTATGTTCTTTTTTGCTGTAAGAGCCTTGGTTTATTCCGAAAACTTAGAACACTAAAAAAATTTACAATAAAGGATAAGAATTACTAAACATTATCACTTAAAATTGTAAGATATAAAACATATAATAATTATAATTTTATGTACGATTATAATCCTCGCTTATACAAAAATGTACCAAGAATAAGAATTTTGCAAAATTATACCGACGATAAAGGACATCATACAATAACAACCTTCCCATATAATTTAGTTTCACCATGCAGCAAATTTTCTTTTATTTTCTGCTTATTTTTACAGCTTTTCAAGACTTTTCTAATATGAAATGAGGCAAATGTTGATATTATGGAAATTGCAAAGCAATATACAGAGTACAGAGTGCTTCCTAAGTATACCTAAGTGTAAAAAAACTTATTTCTTGAATCATTTTGGTCTTAAAAACCACGGTTTCTAAGATCAAATTGCTGAAATTTAAGAAATGTATGACTTGCTCAAATTTCTAAAGGTTTTTAAGTAGACTGATTAACTAGGTTCCATTCTATAAAAAAAAAACAATTTTTAATTTCTCTGCTGATGATTTTTTTGGATTTTTGAACAATGCAATAGTTGATAATCATATTTTCGCGTAAAATGTTTTTGGATATTTCTATAATAATTGAAGCGATTAATTCGTTAAATTTTTCTAAATCAAGGAATAGTTTCTTTTAT